CCTTCACAGTCTGACCTTCACAGTCTGATCTTCACAGTCTGACCTTCACAGTCTGATCTTCACAGTCTGACCTTCACAGTCTGACCTTCACAGTCTGACCTTCACAGTCTGACCTTCACAGTCTGACCTTCACAGTCTGACCTTCGCAGTCTGACCTTCACAGTTTGACCTTCACAGTCTGACCTTCACAGTCTGACCTTCACAGTCTGGCCTTCACAGTCTGGCCTTCACAGTCTGACCTTCACAATCTGACCTTCACAATCTGACAATTCACAGTCTGATCTTCACACCCTGATCTTCACAGTCTGACCTTCACAGTCTGACATTCACAGTCTGACCTTCACATTCTCACCTTCACAGCCTGACCTTCACAGTCTGACCTTTACAGTCTGACCTTCACAGCCTGATTTTTCACAGTCTGACCTTTACAGTCTGACCTTCACAGTCTGACCTTCACAGTCTGATCTTCACAGTCTGACCTTCACAGTCTGACCTTCACAGTCTGGCCTTCACAGTCTGACCTTCACAGTCTGACCTTCACAGTCTGACCTTCACAATCTGACCTTCACAGTCTGACCTTCACAGTCTGACCTTCACAGTCTGACCTTCACAATCTGACTTTCACAGTCTGACCTTCACAGTCTGATCTTCACAGTCTGACCTTCACAGTGTGACCTTCACAGTGTGACCTTCACAGTCTGACCTTCACAGTCTGACCTTCACAGTCTGATCTTCACAGCCTGACCTTCACAGTCTGACCCTCACAGTCTGACCTTCACAGTCTGACCTTCACAGTCTGACCTACACAGTCTGACCTTCACAGTGTGACCTTCACAGTCTGATCTTCACAGTCTGACCTTCACAGTCTGACCTTCAGTCTGACCTTCACAGTCCGACCTTCACAGTCTGACCTTCACAGTCTGACCTTCAGAGTGTGACCTTCACAGTCTGACCTTCACAGTCTGACTCTCTCAGTCCGACCTTCACAGTCTGACCTTCACAGTCTGACCTTCAGAGTGTGACCTTAACAGTCTGACCTTCACAGCCTGACCTTCACAGTCTGACCTTTACAGTCTGACCTTCACAGTCTGATTTTTCACAGTCTGACCTTTACAGTCTGATCTTCACAGTCTGGCCTTCACAGTCTGATCTTCACAGTCTGACCTTCACAGTCTGACCTTCACAATCTGACCTTAACAGTCTGACCTTCACAGTCTGACCTTCACAGTCTGACCTTCACAGTCTGACCTTCACAGTCTGACCTTCACAATCTGACTTTCACAGTCTGACCTTCACAGTCTGATCTTCACAGTCTGACTTTCACAGTGTGACCTTCACAGTCTGACCTTCACAGTCTGACCTTCACAGTCTGACCTTCACAGTCTGATCTTCACACCCTGATCTTCACAGTCTGACCTTCACAGTCTGACCTTCACAGTCTGACCTTCACATTCTCACCTTCACAGCCTGACCTTCACAGTCTGACCTTTACAGTCTGACCTTCACAGTCTGATTTTTCACAGTCTGACCTTTACAGTCTGACCTTCACAGTCTGATCTTCACAGCCTGACCTTCACAGTCTGCCCTTCAGTCTGACCTTCACAGTCCGACCTTCACAGTCTGACCTTCACAGTCTGACCTTCAGAGTGTGACCTTCACAGTCTGACCTTCACAGTCTGACTCTCTCAGTGTGACCTTCACAGTGTGACCTTCACAGTGTGACCTTTACAGTGTGACCTTCACAGTGTGACCTTCACAGTGTGACCTTCACAGTCTGACCTTCACAGTGTGACCTTCACAGTGTGACCTTCACAGTGTGACCTTCACAGTGTTACCTTCACAGTCTGACCTTCACTGTCTGGCCTTCACAGTGTGACCTTCACAGTGTGACCTTCACAGTGTGACCTTCACAGTGTGACCTTCACAGTGTGACCTTCACAGTGTGACCTTCACAGTGTGACCTTCACAGTGTGAGTCAGTAGTCGTCATAACTTTAATTAAAATCTCGTGTCGTTTACGAAAAAAAATGTTGTTTATATAGAGCTGACAGACACTCAGAGAGAACCAGACACGCTGACAGACACTCAGAGAGAACCAGACAAGCTGACAGACACTCAGAGAGAACCAGACAAGCTGACAGACACTCAGAGAGAACCAGACAAGCTGACAGACCTTAGAGAGAACCAGACAAGCTGACAGGACATTCAGAGAGAACCAGAACAAGCTGACAGACACTCAGAGAGAACCAGACAAGCTGACAGACACTCAGAGAGAACCAGACAAGCTGACAGACACTCAGAGAGAACCAGACAAGCTGACAGACACTCAGAGAGAACCAGACAAGCTGACAAACACTCAGAGAGAACCAGACAAGCTGACAGACACTCAGAGAGAACCAGACAAGCTGACAGACACTCAGAGAGAACCAGACAAGCTGACAGACACTCAGAGAGAACCAGACAAGCTGACAGACACTCAGAGAGAACCAGACAAGCTGGCA